CGAAGACCAGCACAATCGAAGAGCCGGCGGGGGCGGATGGTTTCTGGATCACATTTCGGTAGACCCATGACTTCTCGTTGACCCAGCGGGCGTCCAATTCCTTGAATCCAATATAAGGATCATCAAGCCTATTGTGAGACTACCATTAGCTTTGAAACATTTCTTTTTTGGAAAAGAAAAATAGCTCACTTGTTATTAGCAATGAGATCCTGCTGTACCACGGACGGGACCGCAGCTACTGGCAGCCATTCGTCGGTGTCCCGATCCTTGAAGGACCAGCCAGAAGATAGAGAGTGCACGAGCTTAGCCATAATGAAAAGCAATTGACAATATGAAGGAAGGAGCTTTGTCTTCCCCGAGATTTATACATAGTTGGAGACCGACTTTCCTTATCGATAAGCCCGGAACCCCCCGTTTCCATTTTGGGAAAGACAACATTTGCCGTGTTCAAAAGGGACTAGTGTGACACATGACCTGTATATTTGCAAATAATATGCTTCAAATACAGTGAAAGAATGGAAATTTGGAAATTTGCAGATTTGCAAAGTTTCAACAATGGTCTCCCTCCACCATTCGGCATTTCCCTCGAACCCTCCGGGGTTGTCATATCCACTCAAGAGCTTTGCTGGTCACGGAAAATCGGCCGTCAAGCTCATTGCCATGCATTGTCGATGACCGGCATTCCTTCTTCCATGAGCTTTTAGGATTTAAAATTTGTGGAGGCTCACTCTATATCATCTGCTGTTCCCCTTGTGCAGGCACCCTCTTTTGGACATGGACGTCCTACACTTAATTTATTGCACTAATTTGCCGTTAGTATGCATGAGTCACAAGTCCCAACCGAACCAATCACCGTCAGACCATCTGCAGACAACGGGCCTACATCCTTTCTCGTCCAACAGGCTTGGCAATGTCCACCCCCCGAGAACTTCCCTGAAGATCAATCACAGCGTGGAGCTCTGCAGAGTGCTTGCTTTACATTTACTTCGAGTGTGCGGAGTTTGATACTCTTGGCCTCTTTCCCCCCCCCCCTCTTTGAAAAATCAAGAGAAAATTAGGGGTGAATCCCTAACCGCCATGTCCCCATTCCGGCCCCTTGACTGGAACGAGACATGGCGCGAAATTATCTCGGCAACTAGGACCCCCTCCCAGTGGCAAGGTGCAAAATAGGGTACCTCCTGATACACGGGGTAATAAGCAGACATGGGCACTAGCCCCTTGATTTTGTGGAAAATGCCTCATTGCGGGCATCAGGCGTCAGGCTTAGAGCCATTATGGTACACTCCGTACGGAGTACACGGAGTATTCCCAGCCACGCGACGTTATAGAAGGTTTGGCATGGGCGAAACAGGGTTGGAATCTCCGACTGGAAATTCGGTAACTGGACCATCGGACTTGATCTCCACCAAGAAGAGACATCTTCCCCATACGATCGTCCAGGTCCATCTGCAGGGCTCATGATTTTCCCAAAATTGAGTCCGGGGAAATTGCCCCTCACTTTGGATCTGTGCCACCATGGAGGACCCTGCCATGTTCTGTGGCGTATATGACACCGCAAGCGAAATTGGATGTGCGTGAATGGCACATGTACACCCCTGTTCATGCTGGCGTGGCCTTTCCCGGCTGAATTACTGCAGCTCGGGACTTCGCAACCCCAGTTGATCCTAGTTGACCCCATAAACTCCCCCGGATGGTCTTATGGTATAAGTTTCAGCACCCCTATTATGCCCGTCCTAATTCCACTAACCAAAAGCCTACAATTTTTGGGCGGTATGACTATCTAGACAGGCGGTAGCCTGGGAGGGTGTTGAAACTTTTATGGACCGTCCCTGTATATGCCGGGAGTTACTGCGGGAATCTCACCTCAAACCGGGAGAACGGCGTTATTTCTTTACCCTTCCTACCACATCCGAGAGTGTCGTTTCCCAAGAAATACACCGATGCATCACTCCATAATATTCTCAACCAATCACTGTGACCCGAAGGAGCCGAGCAGAAGACAGTCAAAATCCACCATAAAATGCGGGGAGATTAAGCGGATCAGCCTATTTTTTCTCGTTTTTTTAGTTTTCGTTTTCGTTTTAGTTTGCTTTTGTCCTTTTAGTCCTTTTTTTTCCCTATCTCTTAGACATATGACTTGCCACCTTTCAACGATGTGAAGATTCAACTTACAATCCATCCTTATTTTATATACACATCTATGTCGCCTGTTCACTGACCACACGGCGTGGTCTATATGAATCTCTAACTTCCATCATGTTCCATACATTCGAAGGGTTTGAGAACCCAACCGCAGCAACTCCTGCCCGCAACCGGTCTACTAGTGAGAGACGTGAATCTATTAGTCGGCGTGTGACCACCTTGCGCGCTTGTACATCTTGTCGTCATCGCAAGATCAAGTGTGATGGCGAGAAGCCATGTGAGGCATGTCGGTGGTATAAGAAGTCGGATCAGTGCCACTATTCAGACCCACGGCCATCGCGGAGGTGAGTCACTCGCCCATGTCTCTCCCTACCCTAGCCATCTAACCAGTATGATCCATACAGACATGTAGAAAAGCTATCTACAACCCTGGAGGAGTATCGAAGTATTCTGGGAAAGTTATTCCCAAATTTCTCTCCAGAATCATTGACAAATTTGCCACGGGAGAAACTCCTCGAGCTCACAACCGCTTCGTCCGGCTCTCACGTTCAAACACAGTCACACCATGCTGATTCACCATCTACATCGGCTTCATTGGAAGCCCATGTCTCACCTTTGTCAAATGATGATGACAACCTTGAGGCTCTGCAAACCATGCCCGAGGAACTACCGGATAGCCGTAATACCAGCTCCTCAGATCTAGTAGAGGGCGTGTCAGATGACGTGAATGGGCTGTCGCTGTCAGCTCGTCAGCCTTCATCTTACCTGGGTGTATCATCTATCCAAGCTGTGATCAAGGTCATTGTCTGGTTGGACCCAGGCTGCGCCTCGTACTTTTCTCGAACTCCCGCAAACGAACAGGAGAACACGATAGCATGGCAACATCATGCGCCTGTCACCCCACCACAGCCCCTTATTCCACCCTCGGAGATGCAAATGCTCGACGCATATTTCCTCTATTTCCAAGCCTTCGCTCCCATGATCGATGAGCGCTCCTTCCGCGAGGCGTACTGTGCCGGTCGTCGGAGAGATGACCATTGGCTTGCTTTGCTGAACATCGTTCTGGCTCTTGGTTGCATTGCCGCCACAGGACCCGATGATGTAACCCACCAGACATACTTCCTGCGATGCAAGGGTCACCTAAGTCTGAGTTCCTTGGGAAGTTCCCATATTGAGACTATCCAGGCGCTGGGTCTGATGGGCGGCTGGTACTGTCACTATATCAGCCAGCCAAATCTGGCATACTCCCTTATGGGTGCTGCATTGCGTATGGCGGCTGCCTTGGGACTGCACAAGGAGTTTGCGGAATCTCGTCAAATCCCGAGTCCGGCGAAGCTAGCCTCCATGGATCTTAAGCGTCGCGTCTGGTGGTCTTTGTTCTGCATGGATACCTGGGCCTGTATGACACTGGGCCGGCCTAGTATGGGTCGGGCAGGTTCAACCATTACAGTGAAACCCCCACTCTGTCGAGACAAGGTAAGGCTGTATTCCTTTCCAGGAAAAGAATGTTTGGTTGACTAATGACATTCTAATAGGAAAACGTCCTCGAGATCCTCCCATTGGTGGAAAACATCCGCTTCGCCAAGATCGCAACCCAAGTCCAAGAGTCCCTCGCTGCAGCACCGCTAGTCAAACACCAAGAAATGGCCCACGCAGATGCACAACTCCTCGAGTGGTGGGACAATCTCCCCTCCGTCCTGAAAGACCACCAGCCCTGCTCAGAGTCAATAAACACTGTCCGCACAGTCATGCGCTGGCGCTACTACAACCAACGGATCCTCCTGTACCGACCAACACTGCTCAGCTATGCTATGCGCCGCGTGCCTTATATCGCACTACGATCCGAGGAGCGCACCGCGATTGAAAAATGTCGCGCAGTCGCAGAGGAATCTATTCGGAATATCGCTGCTACGGCACAGCTTAACCAGCTGTGTGGATGGAATGCTGTCTGGTGGACTTTCCAGGCTTCGTTGGTTCCCTTGGTGGGATTGTTCCTCAACGATCCAACGGTGGATGACCCCCGAGCTTCCATTGAGTCCTGTCAGGCGCAGGTGGAAATGGCCATGATGACCTTGGCCCGTATGCAGTCCTTTGGCCACACGGCGAAGCGGTCGCTGGATGCTATCTCGCGTATCTACGAGGCTAGCAAGCGGGGCCAGGACCTCGCGGATCCTGATTCTTCCACTAGTGTTCTGAGTGGCTCGTATCCCGCTGGTCGGGATATGTCAGTCATGTTCCCGGCACCTGGCGCGGGCCGTGGTAACATGGCCATAGGCGAGAATGGGTTCCTTGACCCCCTCGCTACTACCCCATTCACGGATGATTCAGGGGGCCAGTATCTCTGGGAATATTTGAGCTGGAGCGACAACAATTTGTGGCCGGGGGTTACTGCTGATATTGATGGGAGGAACGATGCGATGACTCTGTTGACCCCCGATCATGAGAAAGGCCCCAAATACGGAGAACAACCTGCGTATTTTGATCCCATGCCGGATTCTAGATACTTTGCAAATGCTGGGCTCTATTACTGAACATTTGTTCTCTTCTCTTCTCTTCTCTTGTCTTCTCTTTTTTATTTTATTTTTGGTTCCTGTGGAATTTCTCGATTCAGCATGTTAGCATAGGGCATATATGGAAATGAATGTATGACAGATAAATTTTTACTCTACTTCTTCAGGTAAACTGTAGCATTTCTCATGTTTCCATAATACTACGCCTGTCATATTGAATAGACACAACCGACAGTGTAAATGCCACCTACCTGACGTGCTTCCAGTAGGCCGGATATCAGGATTTATCCTAGGGAGCAAAAAAGAAATGTCATAGAGGTATAAATTCAAATCAAATCATAAATACATTCATAGCGAGGCATAATACCGAGCCAGCGAATCTATCATTGCATCTCGTCGCTCGGGATCTTCATCCTCGAAGATCTTGTGAACGTGTCTGTTGTGTTTCAGACTTGCGACCTGGATATATGCGTCACCGTATCCAACCGAACCGTCCACCTGCGCAGGGTCTCTCCTCCGTTTGCCATCGGGGTCTGACAATATTCCACTGGAGCCCAGGTGAGCGAGCGAGTTTCTGAGAATGTCACCGATGCTCACGTTTGCTACCAGGGGAAGTGACCCGAGGACCTTTGTATAGTATGGGATCAGGGTGCCGTTGGATACAATTGATTTGGTCACAGCTGTCAGGCTCACTGCACCTTTATTGAGGGCGGATCCCTGTGAGCTGAGAACTTCGGTTAGGTTGGCGATCATCGTACCGACGTCGAGCACACCTCTCAACGGGAATGTGTTGTTGCCTGGTCTAAGTGTGACGTCCTTGACCGTCGCACTGCCAATGACTAGGGATGTATTGCCGCTCTTCAGGTCAAGAGTGATGGTACCAACTTCGAAGCTGAGGGCGCTTGGGTTTGGAAGTGTGATATTGGCAACGAGGTTGGATCCGTCATCCTCTACCGGCAGGACAAAGGTGCTGTTTGCGATGGAGAAGCCGTTGAACTTGTTTAAAGCTATTTCAAATATTAGCAAATGCTGGAACATCAGAGTGAATTACTTACTTGGCATCACCACATCTTTATCCAATACAATGTGATTTTTCAGAACCCCGAGGTATCCAGTGGTCACTCCATATAGCGATAGTGCTGTTTCCTTTTGGAAGACAGCTTGTCTCACAAAGCTTTCCCAGGAGGTAAGATTTAGGATTGGCGTCACCTGGTCAGTGACTCCAAGTGAATGATTCCCCTTGATAGTTTGCGCGGGGATCTTAATTCCTGCATATGCGTTCTTATGGCCGAAAGAGCGCACAAAGGTATAGAAGACAACTGGATCGAGCCGAACACCCAGTGCAAGCTTCAGGTTTACCTTTGCTTCTAGGGTCATTCGTACTGTGTCTGGTGTTGGGTGCATCACTTCGGCATTGACGATTCGTAGATCCGACTTGTTGACAACCATTTGCGCGATGGCAGGTATTGCGACCAGAAAGCTTTTGGAATTTTAGCTTCAATAATAAACAGGCGAATAAACAAAGTAGCTCTTTCTCTCTGACTTACAAAACAGGCAAGAGAATAGCCAAGAAGATCACATTGGCGATGAGGTAGATGCACCAGAATCGCCTGCAATGCCGGCGGAATCTATTCTTTTTCGAGGTCGAGCTCACTAAAGATCCGACCTTCTCGAGTTGTCCAGGCTCATCACGTTCTGGGGCGAGAATCCCTCGATTGCCCCCGATGATATACTTTCCCATGCCCATCATGATATAGTCTTCAATGCAGAGAAGAATACGAGGAGATCTGTCTATATAGCCACCACACTCTTATGGGATTATCATATGTCCATGGAAACTACCGAGGACCAGACAATTAAGTTTTATACCATCGCTTCTTCTCTTTTGCGGGGGATCACCACCTTCCTACGCCATGTACGGATATGAAGTACGTAGCTAATATGAATGAATCCGCGGTACCTTTCTGGCCAATGAACTGGATCATCTCCGTTCAAACTAGTCAGGTCTAAGTCAAATTCATGTTTGTGATATTGCTTTTAGTATAAAAGTAGATCCAGCTGACGACATCTGACCTATTAGACCAAGTTCAAATTTGGCCAGCCATATTGTAAGCGGACCTCGGGACAATGGCATCTTACGCAAGGCAGCTTGAGTGATACAGGTCTGAGCTGTAATAATGTGTCCCTTGGAGTGTGCCTAGCCTTTTGATACGACCCACATTCCTGAGTGCTTTGGGCCATCAGCTTACGTTGTTGGAATTATTCATATATTCGGGGATAGCATCATTTAGCTGATGCCTGGTTGAAACGTTAAGACATGGACCTGGGTATAAACGTACAACTTTGCAAGAAGGAACTACTGTGCCAACTAATTTGAATACATAAAGACATCCCCCAGTAACCCCGCTTAGTGGCGTACCACTGTATTAGCCAAAACATCCTATTATTGGCTCATTTGATGTCTCTGGCCAAGAACAGTGTATATATAGAGAAGGACGTAATGACCTTCCCCGCATTTAATGTGCTTGGGCCTTGTTTTTTTGCTCGTAAAGCCTGTTTAACTATATATGGATCGGATCCAGGTCGCAATGTTCTCGCTTTATAGGTACCTCTTATATAGTTACCATAAGGCTTCACGTAATATCTCTTTGACCTACAAACAATTTCTCGATGAAATCCACTAGACAACGCGGGGACACAACGCGGGGACTCCAATATTTACGATTTGCTGTATCATTGTATCCGCCAAGACTTTGTTCAATGTTTTGCACTGTTGGGAATCGTTATTACCCCGAGGGGTCCTTACCCGTGTTATGCGTGACTATATTTAAATCTCTTGGATGTATCTCCACACCCTGGAAGAACTGAATCTGGATATGGAGGGCCACTTACCTCGATAGGAACTCTATGATGAGGAAGAGTTAGTAAAGGAGAAGGAGTGACTGAGGACGACCGGAAAGATTATGAGTAGCAATGGGTTGGCGAGCTGCGGGAGATAGCCCCAGAATTCGCACCACAGCGCGTCTCCTTGAAAGACTTTCCACGAATTAGACATCTTGGGAGCCCATACGACATGCTATCTAACAGAATTGATTTCTGTTCTTTTTAGTTTCCTCCATTTCCCCAGGTTATTCCTTCATTATGGCTTATCAACTTACGAATAAAGATTTCAGGGGAACATTGATAAATCTACCTGGCCAAGTACCTCGGAGGCTTAGCCAGTTTTGATGATACCAAGCCATCGTTTATCAGCATTTCCTCTGCGAAGCTATCGAAGCCGGTCAACCCGCAATGCTTCATAAATTGTTTCACGTCTATCGCTACTCTCCTAACTACCGTACCCTCGCGACTCCTACAACCGACCTACCGCCGCGTTGCAATTCTCCGGTACCCACACAACCCGAATATCTGGGTATGTACTGTGCACCGTCTCCAGCATCTAGACCTCGATCAATATTTACGCTCTCTTATTTTCTTCATCCGCTCCACTTGGCAGTTGCCCGATACGATTCAGATCTCCTATCCCGCTTTCAGATCCCACTGTACCGCAGGGACCACGGCGTTAGGACACACTCTACTCAACATCGTATCTCTTCCCTTAACATCTGAGCAAGCAATACCGCTCACCTCGGTGGAACAAGGCGCCCAGCTTAGTACCCTACCTTTTCTTGTACGAGTTGTGGGTGTCGTTGTGTGTACCCACGATGTTGATAGAAATACTGCTTTGCATTACTTGGGTGCCACGGTGAATGTTGACCCTAGGGCTTTATAGTTGCTTAGAGATATAGAAAGATAGTAAGGAAGCTTATAATAACAGCAGGAATCGAGCGACATAATAGTCTCAAGAGCGAGGCTAGAAATGAATCAATGATTGCAAGGTGTATAGCTGTAAGAAGCACCATGAAACAAGATATATACTATATCCAACAGTCAAGCCCAAAGAAAAATCAAAGTTACAAGCCAGTCTATATGTCCCCATCACTCTCAAGGGCACTTCAATACCTGCCTTGTACCTACATACATGTAGGTAACCTGAAGGTCTACATATCCTGATTAGGCGCCGGGACACGGACCATGCTGAGTCAGCGGACAGGCGGGAAAATGCCCTGGTGGCATCAACATCTTCCATGTAAACATTCGGTTTACCAGGCAAGAATTGCATGGAATGGAATTGAATTCATTTACACTGTCACCCCAGAATCCAAGACAGAGAAAAAATTGGTTGGATGCGCAGCTTTTCAATTCTCCACGACATCCGCCAAGGGGTTCATCAAGCCCCAATTATGCGAGCTAGCCGCAACGGACAATCTAGCAACCTTTAATTTCATCATTCGGCTGTAATAAAAGGGCAAAAAAGGAAAACAAAAAGCTCAACATAAGAGAATGGGTCTCTTCAACTCTTCAGCACGAGTCTTCCTCGCAGCAACAGCCCTCCGCCTCATCCTCCTCGTCTACGGAGGCTGGCAGGATGCCCACTCTGCCGTGAAATACACCGATATCGACTACATGGTGTTCACTGATGCTGCCCGCTACGTTGCAAAGGGCGAGTCGCCCTACGCTCGCGATACTTACCGCTACACACCGCTCTTGGCATGGATGCTTCTCCCGACTGCGTGGGAGGGTGCCGCGCCTTGGTCAACGCTGACTTTCGCCTTTGGAAAGGCGCTTTTTGCATTATCTGATGTCCTTGCTGGATGGCTCGTTGTCCAGCTGCTTATACGATGCTACCACTTCCCTGTTGAGCGTGCTCTGCGATATGTTGCCGCTGTGTGGCTGTGGAATCCCATGGTTGCTAATATCAGTACTCGTGGTAGTTCGGAAGGACTGCTCGGTGTGCTTGTTGCGGCGCTTCTATGGGCAACTTTGACGAAGAAGCCTATTCTTGCTGGGCTGATCCTGGGTCTTGCTGTGCATTTTAAAATCTATCCATTCATCTATGGCGTTTCCATTCTCTGGTGGTGGGATGGCGAGCGGGATGGGTCTGCAACGGCGGGCTCAGGGCTGCTGTCAAAGGCTTTGGAATTCATTACCCCGTCCCGGGTGAAGTTTACCGTCGCAGCACTGGCCAGTTTTGTGGCATTGAATCTCGTCATGTACCTCCAGTACGGCCAACCATTCCTCCATCACACATTCTTCCACCATCTTACTCGCATCGACCACCGCCACAATTTCTCTCCCTATAGTACACTGCTCTATTTGTCTGCTGCCGGTGGGGCCGAAACTCGCTTTGAGGCACTGGCTTTCCTCCCACAGTTGATCCTTGCGGTTGTTGCTTTGCCTCTCGTTCTGGCAAAGAAGAGCTTGACTACTGCAATGCTCGCGCAGACTTTTACCTTTGTCACTTTCAACAAAGTCTGTACTAGTCAGGTATGTGATTTTATTCGAAAATAGTCATCCTGTTAGCTAACCTGTTTAGTACTTCCTCTGGTACCTCATCCTGCTTCCGTTTTACTTACCCTCTTCCTCGCTCATCCGAAACCCGACTCTGGGCGTATCAGCAGCAATACTATGGATTGCTGGACAGGTATGTATTGTTTACCGATCCTCTGATGCCATAATTCTCACTTGGAACTCCAAGCCTGACAAACTATGTAGGCCCTTTGGCTGCACCAAGGTTACAACCTCGAATTCCTGGGACTGTCATCATTTGTACCTGGGCTGTTCCTCGCAGGACTCCTCTTCTTCGCTGTGAATGTCTGGATCCTGGGTATCATCGTTCGGGATGGAGGGGAGGGTGCTGGTGAGATCAGTGTTGCAATGAAATGATGTATCTAATAGATATTTATACATGGCTACGATAAAAGCAACAATGATTGATCACAACGACATTGAACTACATACAATACATACAAAAAAAAGCACCATCGGACATGTCCGATAGGCCGGCATGGCCGAAGGAAACAAGCCAACCGGCGAAAATAGAAAAGTAGTGCGACAAGAAAGTACGCATTGAGGACGGTTTGGGGTTAACTTTCTCCGGTTCGGATAAGTTCGCAGCCCTCAGGTAATCGCGCACTCTGACACATTAACAGGGGGAAAATAAAGAAGCACAAGTAAGATTATGCGCCGAACGGCACATATGAGCCCAGGTATCTCGTAGAATAACATCCACCAACGTGGTATCACAAAGAAGAGGGCAAATTTGAATGCGAATAAGAAAATCGCTAAGATGACAGAAATCAAGATGGGGTATTATGCTGAATGACGAGAGGAAACAATAAAAATCAAGTCGAAACGCTCAGAGAAGATCAAGGCAAGCCGTGGGCCTAGTAAGGGCTGGAGTTATCAGCAATGAGGCTGTACATGCTTGCTTGAATACCTAGTGGGCGGACTCGGGGCATCAAGGCGCCAACAATTTGTTGGTCATCGTATTCCGCGTATATTCCATCTGTAAGCTCGACAAATGAGGCCGATGGTCGGTTCATGTGCAATGCTTCCAGGATGTCATCACTCCATAAGCCTGTGCACTCGTTGTTCAGAAGTTGGAAATATGGGTTCAGAGGCGGACAGCTTGAATCGAGGTCAATGAAACGGATCCGCAAGTACTCCAGGGCAGGGAGTACGGACAGACACTCGATTGCCTTGATCACCATTGCCTCGAAAGCGCGAATGAATCCCATGCTGGTAATTCCACCTATTCCCTGGCTCATCTGCGACCAGTGATGCGATCTGTCCGCCTGCTGGTGGTGACAGCATGCCTTGACTACAATATCCATTGACTTAAGCGGAGAACGGGAACCCATTGTCGTTGTGTGTTGTTTCAATGCCTCAAAAAAGTACCAACACACTCGACCAGTGTAGGTAAATGATTCTAAACGTGGAGCTGTACTGCCAAGCAGACTACAGATTGGGGGAAGCGAGTTTCGAGGTCCAGTAAGCCCAGCTAGCAAACTATCATGGGTGTTGTAAAATCCCTCCAGGCTGAGATTGATGTGTCGGATTTCAGCTGGAAGGTAGGTCAAGATGTGTATCGTGATGAAGCAGGCATTTAGATGTGGTTGAGCCCAAGCACAATGCCATTCACTCAACGCTGGTAATGCCCGTTGGATGTTGTACCAGTCGTTAAGTTGTCGCATCAGGTTCCAGGAACCTCGCATCACAAATGTCTGTATATGCTCAAGAACAGGAAGGCGCCGGGGGATGAGACCCTGCCTAAACATGTACATGCTGTGATCATGGCGGAAATGTCGGATCATAGGTGAATTCTTGCAATGGCCTCCCTCCAGTGTGAGAACTCGGGCAGCGGAGAAAAACCGCCGAACAAGAGTGAAAATATCTTCCAAGGAAGCATTGTTGGTTGCACGGTGATAATTGAGAAAGTCTGCTCCTCGATGATGATCGTGATTCCACTGCATGGGTACAACACGCCCTGCAGCTGCTTGAGCGGCATATTGCTCCATATCCGAGCGAGGAATGGTAGGGCAAAGAGCCCGATCCCCCCAGATAGGCACCCAAATTTCAATGTGACAGACATATGGAATCAAGTGCCAGTTTTTCTTGAACCACCGCGCACAGTTGGTCAATTCATCTAGGCTGCCTTTAATCCTGACTACATGAACAGTCAGTTGTCAGTACAATCCCTTTGAAACTCAGATCTATAGCCAGATAAAACTCACTATGGCGGTAGATTCGGCTTTGAACAAGTCCAGTCCACACTCGGCAAGTCAAGGCCAAGTTGGAAAGGGCCTTCCGACGTGGATGATGGAGAGCCTTGATCCAGTTCTGAGCAGAAGATTCACCATATGCCATGCGGTTACCAGCCGAGGCTCTTTTCCCAAAGATCTGATCCAGAATAATTTCATGGATCTCAACTGGGAGGTTCACAAATTGGATTCCCGACTGGGCCGGGGCTGAGATAGTCGATGTGGGGATTTTTGCTGGGGGATGAGATCGGTCCTCACTGGTGATAGGCCCAGAGGTGGAATTTTCATAGATATCCCAGCAGGGATTCTCTGCACTGCCGTTGGATTTCCCTGCGCTTGAGCCTGTAATGGATGCACTGGGCAAATTGACCGACACCGGCCGGGAAGGGGGAACTGCGGAGATCATGAGGGGTGGTAAGGATGAAGATGAGATATTATCAGGAGAGTTAGAAGTCATTGATGCGACTTGCTCTTCCTCAAATGAGAACTTGGAGATAGCTATAATTTGGTATACGTCAGTGAACAAACAAGCCATGTCGGTCTATGCATATACATCGTACTCACCAGCTGTGGTTAACCGGTGATATCAAAGCCACACCGGTCTGATGTTCGGTATTGCTAACAACCGGAATTTCTCAGTGGATCACATGCACAGAAAAAAAGAAGACAAATTACAGAAAGGGAGGGACTCGCCGATCAGGCTGTTGGGCAGCTTGATGAGGCGGGATGGAAGGAGATTGGCGGGAAGAGAGATAAGCCCAAGAGTGAAAGAGATGAGAAGATGAAAAGCAAGAAAGAGCCTACTACAGAAGGAAAATGAATTCAAAGTACATAGAATAAAGTGACGATGTATTGAGGGGGGGGAGGTGGTTAGAGTAAAGAGGAGAGATGTTGCGCGACACGGACATTTACTATAGGGATACTTGATATTGGGGGTATACAGAACGAGAAGTAGTATTATGACCAATAAAATATCATGAACATGGTTAGAATGGATCGGAGCTTGCATTATACATGTTACTTATTGATTCACAGCTATATCATGCTACATATTGTATATTTGAACTGTCATGGTTTCCTTGGCCCTATTATGGTGAGATACCATCGCCTAGGCAATGAGAAACACGACAGAGATGATCCATATCTATTGTAATTCAGGTCGGACAGTATTTGTTTACAGACACAGAGAACATACAGATCAGCAAGATGAGTGGGATTGAGGGTATCGATGCAGAATAGACGCTACAAAACCATTGCAAAGAAGAAGAAAAAAGATGTAAACTAGCGCTTCCGCCTGAAACGGAAACGAAGTCCATCATCGCTATCTGAATCGCGCTCCTCACGAGGCCTCTTCGGGCGCCGAGCTGGAGTCGGGTCTGGAGTCGGTTCAGGTGAGATGCGTGCAGTCACTGACAGCCCGGACCGTGATGGAGCAACTTCATCGCGATGATCCTCAGAGTCCGGACCTTCAGCCTCGATTCGAGAGTGCGTCTCAGCAGAATTACCGCCCCAATAGTGATCGCCGATTCCATAGTCTTTGCGGGTCACTTCTTCTAGGGGAACGATTACCGTCTGGATGCGAGCTCGACTACGCGGCTCGCCCTTTCGCCGAAACTTTTTGAAGTTTTTGCGCCCATTCCATTGGTCATCCCATCGATCCGACCTTTCATCATTGCGCATGGGTGCGTTACGGACGGGAATATCCATTTCTTCCACGATGACCAGGTTCTTCAATTGGTCCACATCCACATCGTCTATGTCGGCTGGGTGTGTGTCTTCCTTGCGTTGTTGCTCTTCATCTTCCCGGTGTCTCCGTGCGGCTTCGAGAACGTCAAGTTTAGGTCGCTTGCGTTTTGGGGCCTCAGAGTCGGGGATTACAGCTTCACCCTCTGGGTGGTAGCGAGTCATTTCCGCACGACGACGCTTCATTGCACGGGCGCCCGGGAGAAGATCAGCGACCGTATCCTCCTCTAGCTCTTCCTTTACTATATCCAAGGGCTGTGTTGCTTGGGACCGCGCTTGAATTTCAACAGCCATGGTCTGAGTGGAGTTGGTATTGGTGCTGTCCTCTTCTCCATGCGCATACATTGGGACAGATTCCATGTCAAATCCGTCATCGAAGGTTTTCATTTTACTGACGTATGAACGAACACGTGGATTCTTCGCCTGAGATTTCGAGGGCTGGCTAGGCCCAGGAACAGGGGGCGATACCGATTCGGACACAATAGCAATGGCTTGGCTTGTTTGTTCAGCCTCGACAGCTGGTGTAGATGCAGATATCTGACTAGAGCTCTCCTCCGTGGGCAAGGCACGGCAGAGGGGTGATGCATCATTTCCCAGGATTGCGTCAAGGAACTCTCGTTGCTCTATCACACGCTGGTCGATCATTAGAGCAACTTCATTACCGACGTCAATAGACCATTGTTCGAGGTCTCCTTTTGATCGAAAGCGAACAAGAACGACACCACCGGGGCCGTGCCGCTCGCTGCCCACGCCTTTCCGTCCTGCTGCCTTTTTCATGAACCGAACGATATCTGCGGCAGTTGTGACCCCATCTTCAACTTCGTAGAGGAGCGCCTTTCCCTGGCCATTGTTGATTGGACCTTGCAGGTTTTCAAACTGGGCTGAATCACCGAAGATAAACGTATATCCCTCAAAGATATTGAGACGTACGGGATTCGGAGCGAAAGCAGTGGCAGGACGCTGAGTTGGTTCTTTCCCGGGAGGTGGGAGGTGTTGATTTGGATCGGGCCACGCCAATTCGAAGTCGGTTTCAAGCGGACAGAGTGACTCGACGTTCTCAAGATCACCGGGGGTAGCCGCGTAGACGAGTGCATCGATATATGAATCATCTACTATGTACTTTCCATTGACGAGTGCCTGAAGACCCTTGGCTGTATTCCGTTTGCGCTGTACCACATGTGTAGTATGATCGACAATATAATCCATGACGGTCTTGATGTCGAGGTCTTCTAGACGTGAGCGAACATGCGCTAGAGGATCTTCACCTCGCACTGCCTTGGATGAGGCTGACAAGGTTAGAACCACGGGCTCCCATTTAATCCTATCAAGATCATCAGCTGCGATTCAAGTCTATGGAAAGTAGACGCACGCACCGGAGCGCATGCTGGTATTTTGCGAGCTGGATGACATGCTCACCACTCTTCTCCAACTTGCATTCTCCTTGGATTCTCCTTTCGTCAACAACGGTTCCTTTCTTCGAGTCCAAATCGGTTATAGTGATACTGGATCGCGCTCGGGGTGATAACTGGACTAAAATTAGCCAGAGAATGTATACCACCGCGAGGGGTCAACCGTACACCATCTCTCGGGTTGACCGGTGAAATTTCAATGGTCATATGCTTGCGGGATATCGAATTGTGGTTGACAGCATGGCGGACTATCAATAAAAGGTCAGTCAAACTGTATGATCATCCAACTGAAGGAAGTGGGCCATACCTCCATCTCGATAGAATCGACCGAATAAATACTTCTTTCCAGGGCGCAGCCATACGCGCTTCCCTATAAGGATTTTAGCAACCAATCGATCCTTTTCGATCAAATATCTCACCTTCTAGAAAGTCACCGGTCGAATCGAGAATCCACATGACGATGAGTCCGCATACCGGAGGATTATTGCTCAGCGTTGTGTTCGGCTACGTAGCTGTTCAAATTGAAACGCGTGTCCACGTGACTCCGCGTCAAATGGAATTTCGCGCTCTCACCTTGTCAATCCATCAGCCACCGATGGGACGCTCAAAAACATGGAGTCCTCAGGGGAGAATCCTGTCAGTAATCCACAGGAGCCACCTCCTGATGAACATTCTGGCACTCTGAAATATCAGCTACTCGGTCCCTCTTTAACCAAAGCGGGCCAAGACTCGGTCGATCAGCAAAAGGTGCGCTTGGTGACTGTATTTATATTGAGCCATAGCTGAAAGTTTCTAGGTATCAGAGATAATATACAATGCCTCCAAGGGTTCTAAGTTCTTTAATCATGAACAAGATCGGGATCGGAATCTGACGTTGAAAATCGAACGAATCTTGAAAGAAAAGGCACGGCTAGATCGTCTAGACTTGAGCAGTGAGCTACGACGTGCCGATGAATACCTCGCCGAACTAGAACTAAGCCGCGATCTTTCTCAATATGTCATTCACGTGGATTGTGACGCGTTCTTTGCCGCCGTCGAGGAGCTTGACCGACCAGAGTTGAAGACAGTGCCTATGGCGGTAGGCAAAGGGGTTCTCACAACCTGCAATTATCTGGCGAGGAAGTTTGGAGTCAGAAGTGGTATGGCTTCATTTGTCGCGAAAAAGCTCTGCCCACAGCTGGTTCTTTTGCCGCAGAACTACGACAAATATACCGCAAAGGCCAAGGAAATTCGCGCTATCATGGCCGAATACGACCCTCTGTTCGAGAGTGCGAGTATAGACGAAGCCTATTTGAATATCACACCATACTGCAACGAAAATAACTTACAACCTGATGAGGTTGTTCAACGGATGCGTGCAGAGATCTTGGAAACAACCAAGGTGTCTGTTTCAGCTGGGATTGGCGCTAATGCGAAGATCGCAAAGATTGCCTCCAATCTCAACAAGCCCAATGGGCAATTTCAAGTGCCCAATGAACGCGAGGCAATCATGGAATTCATGCGTGACCTCTCAGTTCGCAAAGTCAATGGAATTGGCCGAGTATTCGAGCGAGAGCTGGAATCAATAGGCATCAAAAAGTGTGGGAATATATTCCCACATCGCGCGTTATTGACCAAGCTATTTGGAGAGAAGGCTTTCCAATTCCTTGCCCAGTGCTACCTAGGTCTTGGTCGGACCAAAATTGAACCCGTCGAGACCCACGAGCGCAAAAGCGTCAGTACAGAGACTACGTTTCATGATATTGGAGACAAGGAGGAACTTCGAGCGAAGCTTTGGTGGGCTGCTCAGGAGCTTGAAAAGGATCTGGCGCGAACTCAGTTCAAAGGCCGCACGCTTGCCTTGAAAGTCAAACTACATACTTTCGAAGTGCTCACGCGCCAGACAGCTCCATCTCGTCCCGTTTCCCTGGCAAAAGACTTGTATGCTTTTGCTTTACCCATGCTCGCCAAACTTGAGAAGGATATTCCGAACATAAAGCTACGGCTTCTCGGTCTTCGCTGCTCTAATCTAGTCAGCATCAAGAAAGTTGGGCTTAACTTTTTCGGCATAGCGACACAGCCAAAACCGGCCACCGCACCTGCTTCTGGGCCCCCTGTATCGGCCTCTGGTGTAAATGCAGATCATGACATTTGTGCCGAAGAGGCTTTCGAGGCAGCGGCTCGGCAGGAAATTCAGGATGAGATGAATGATCTAGAGCAGCTGAGTCAAGAAGTACCTGATAGTTCTATTGCTCGTGAGCCAGAGGGCTCTGCG